TATATATATATATATATATATATATATATATATATACATATATATATATATATATATATAGATATATATATATATATATATATATATATATATATATACATATATAGATATATATATATATATACATATATATATATATATATATATATATATATATATATATATATATATATATATATATATATATATATATATATATATATATATATATATATATATATATATATATATATATATATATATATATATATATATATATATATATATATATATATATATATATATATATATATATATATATTTAAAACTGTTCTTTAGCAAACAACAAAATTTTTTCAGCATGGGTTTATCAATTTAATTTAGGATTCTAAATTTATATTTTGTCTTTGCATTGAGTTCATAGTTGAAATTCAACATTTTGATTAGTTTTTCAAAGTATACATGTTTCCAATACATAGTTCCTACGTCAGCACATTGTATCTAGATATACTCAAATCAATGAATAGAGTTTAAACTAAAACGCACAAGTATTGATTTAACTTTAATAAAATACATTTATTATAAGAACTTAAAACCTTCATTGTTAGTTCATAATTATTTTGATTTTCTTAAAGACAAAGTTTTACGTTTAATAACTAGTAATATGGTAATAATTATCAAATCAAAAAACCATCTTAGTTTACAAAAGCAATAATACAGATTATATGATACACTCCATACACAGGGCTCATGACAGTTTTGAAAATCCATTTACCCCGATTTCTACGTGTTTACAAGTATTTTTTCCCTGAAGTTGTGCAGTGAAAAGTATTTAGTTTTCCTGTAAATATTGAAGGATAAATTTGCAACTGAATCCATGTTCCCTAAACATAAGGTTACTTTAGTAATTTAAATTCCCAGCCTAAGCATATAGTTACTATATAGAACCATTGCAGTTAGTATATTTCAATATTAATAAAAAATAAAAAAATAATAAATTATATTGCATTATTAAATTTAAAAATTTAATAATGCAATATAATTTATTAGTAATAATAACATTTTAGACACTATAAAAACACAAGTATTTACTGAATAAAAATAATTTGTAATTGTCAACTTAACAAATTATGTTAAAAAATTGATACAAAGGTGTAATTGCCAACTTAACAAATATGTTAACAAATGGATACAAAGATGAACAATAAAGTTAAAATATTTAGCATAAATTTTAAATTAAAACTGTGCAGATCACTTAAAAGTTATATTATTGCTAATGTACAAGTAATAACTGATGATGTGAGATTATCAGGTTCGAAACAAGCTAGTGGTATTTGTATCACTTTTGATTGCAACTCATCGTAAGATATCATATCTGAGTCACAATCTTGCACTTGATGAACACCAAAATTTTTTGAATTACAAGGAGAAGTGAAAAAGTTTTCAGTTTTTGAGTAGACTTGTCCAAAAATTGTTCAATTCCCTCATTGCACAGTGTAAATAAAGCAAAAATTTCTAGACTTAAGTAATTAGCATTACTTTTTGATAGGAGCATTACTTTTGTTTTTTTGTAAAACATAGAAAATGCTGCTATTTATTTCTGCAAGTTCTCCAGCAAACTGAGAAACTATTTTTGAAGTCCCTTGTATTGACTGTTTCATTGCAGACATATTGTTTTCAAAGGGATATGCTGTGACTCTATCTAAACAAATACATCTTTCTGCTGCAGAAGCTAAATGATTCAGAAAGTGAAAGTTTTACATAAGTAAATGATCCAAGAAGTTAACCCTTGCGTTGTTTACAAAACAACACAGCAGCTAATGAGCATAATCTTTATAAAAAGACATTCGGTCTATGTCAACCTTTTTTTAGAAATTATTAATAGATTACATACTAAAAGAATCTTTTGACAATATTTAAATTTTAAAATATATTTAATATAATCAAAACAATGCATGAAATTCAAGTAACACTAACTTCAAATATTTTGTCAACCTTTTTATATTTTTGGTTGATATTTCATTTTGTTTGTTGTTTAATGATCCTAGTTTAAGATTGTTAAAACTCAAAATCTTGCACCTCATCTTTGAAATAAAATAATATTACCAAATTTTGATGTTTCTTATACTCTTCTTGTATTCAAAACTTATTTTTAAAATACTTTTTTTATGGACAGCATTCTAAAGTTCTACTTAAAATATATTTAATTGTATTTTTAAATCTTCAACATGTTATGTATTAAAATTTTTGTATGTTGTATCTTTGAATTATGTTAAATCATCAATATATCTATATACAACATATATATGTTTAACTTTTAAGATTCTGATGATATGATCCTCTTTTCTGATGATATGATCTTCTTTTCGAAACCAAGCTTTATATTGTTAGTAAGCTGATACGTTATTTTGTATCACAACTATCATTGCAATGATATCACAACTATAATTGCCAAAGTCAAAATTACAAATACGAATTTGTTGACGAAAAATTTGATAATGTTATTTAATTATTTTTTTCAGTTTACATGTAAACTGTTGATAAAATATTAATAAGTATTAACTTTTAATATTTAATAAAAAAATTAAACTTTTATTGAAGGTATGAAAAACTTTCATAAATAAGAATTATTTTCTTTTAGTTTACAGATCTAATTCCAGTATGTTAATCCTGTTTGATACATTGCTATATATATATATATATATATATATATATATATATATATATATATATATATATATATATATATATATATATATATATATATATATATATATATTATATTTTCCGTTTTTGTTACAATTAAATTCCGTAATATAATACAAGATACTCTTAGTCTTTCAAAAACAAAGCAGTTATAACTATAAAAAATCAAGGACAAAATAATAAGAGTTAGTTATACAAAAATAAATAAAAACGCGCAAAACTTGCAGAAGACCATTAAGTCTTATCATCAAGAACCGTTGTAATAATTATGTTTTTACAAAATTAAATTCCTATAATAGTGTTAAAAGCAAAACTTAATTAACTAAGGTAAATAGTGTTAGAACCAAAAGCTGTTCAAAATAAAAAGACAAAAACAAAAAAAAAACAAACAGACAAAAAAAACAAAGCAGTTAAAAGAAATCATTAATAAGACTTGTATACTTTAAAATATTCTTTTTTATTAGTTTTTGAAAGCAATTTATATTGTTTACACCTGGTAAATTACTATATTTTGCTAAGATTTTATTGCAAATATGCGGAGCACGATACGTAATTTTAAGTTGTTCTTGTTTAGTTTTGCACAATGGTTCAATTAAGCCTGTTGTGCGTAAAGTATATTTAATGTTAGGTTTTATTTCATAACGATCATTAAAAAATTAGTGGCATTGTTGAAATTTACTTTTATACATGAGACATAAAATTTTATAACGTTTATCTTGTATAACGTAAAAATATTCATAATTTTAAACATTGGTTTTGCATATTTGTTTTTATTTTTAAAATTTATTATTATTGTTAAATTGGATTTATACGTCAATCTGGTTTTTGCCAACCTCTACCATGAGATCATGTTGAGATTAGGACTTGTTATCAAACCATCTGAAATTTTTGATATCAAAACTAAATCTTATTGGTATCAAATATTTACGAAACACCACAGCATTGAGGTTGTGGTGTTTTGTCAAAAGTTGATATCAATCTTGTGTTATTTAGATATCAAAAATTTCTCATGGTTTGATACCAACTTGTTATTTCAATAAGATCTCATGGTGATATCACAACCATACTTGAATTTGTTAACCTATGGTAATGACATCTATAGGATACGATATATAGATAATTATTTGATATTGCAGCATGATAAATTTTTGATATCATATTAATATCATATTGATCTCATGCGTTGACTGGTTAAGGAACAGGTACATAAATAATCAGTGTGGAAACAGATGTATATAAAAATGGCAATTTTGGTTAAGACCCGTATTTTACAGATCCAAAAAGCTAAAAAAGGGAAAAAGTATAGAAAAGTTTAGTTTGCAATAGACTTACAAAGAGCCGTATTTTTATTGACCCTATTTTAGCTAGTATTTTAATATTTTTCCTAATATTCTAATAAGTTTCCAGTATGATATGCTACGTGGCTTCAAAATAAACCATACTTTTATGACAAACTAACTTTGACTCGACTTTTGGATAAACAACTTTTTCTTCTATTAAAAAGCGTGAACAAAAAACTTTATTTTAATCAAATCAAGAATTAATCTACTTTTTGATAAAAGGGAGAAATTGTGTTTATATTATAAATATTTTATAAATACATAATGTAATGCAAACAGAACTGTCATTATTCGTTTTTCATAAACCGACTGACAAATAGGTAGAACATGCAAGAAGTACATTGCCTGAGGGTTTGGTTTAACAGGCAATCTATCAATTTTAAACAATATATAGCCTATTTATTTTTTGGAAGGGATTTTTTCCTCATGGGGGTCTTTTTCTGAGGGGTTTTTTCCTAAAACCAAATGAAAATGGATTTAATTTTGTTCCAAAGTATGTTAGTCCGATCTTTCTTTAGCAGCATTTCATCGAATTTTACTGAGCAAAATTGAAGGGAATACTCAGAAAAAAAAGAAATAAAACTGACTAAAGACCATAGTATACTGCTAATTTACTTTTTATTCAAAGAAAAATACATGAACATAAACATTTAAAAACTTTTAAAAAAAATTGTTAGGACTCAACTAATCGTAAATTATCACAAAACGTTGTTTCGTTTTTTTTAATGGAAAATAATTTTTGTTATAGCTGCGATTTTGAATATTTGTTTTACTTTTTTGTATAAAAACTCTGTTTTGTAATATTTTTTTATTGATAACAACTATTTTGTTTTTTAATGAAAAAGTAAAAAATTAAATGGTTAAAAAGTAAGGTAATTTAACTTATAATGTATACACGATATGATTTAAATTGTTTACTTTTGATATTCTGCTAATAGCTTTGTGTTTATATATTGTATTTAATTTACTTTCCAGGGAAGGAAAAAGGATTTCTATACGACAATTGTCTTTTTAGGAGCTACTTTAGCTCTGCTCAGTAAGGTAGATGTTTTTATATTTCAGTTAAAGTAAACTACTTTTTATACTTTTTTTGTATTATTTAAATAACTAAAAGATAATTTTCTAAAACATAACTATCTTTTTATTGTATCTTTTCAGGTGGCTGTTTTTTTTGAATGGATCGTTCTTTTTGTTTGCTCATGTAAAAAAAATAAAGAAAAGTTCGACAAGTGTAAATACAAAACTTTTAATGAAGAAAATGTTTGGTAATAATATGTTATTTAATTAAAAAAAATAATAAATGTAAAATAAAAAAATAAAACATGACTCATTAAAAAATTATTATTATATTATTCATTCGCAAACTTTTAAACTTGCATATTTTAAATTATGTAAAATACTTTTTAAAGGTTTAATTAGAAACTCATGTTCCCAATTCAAATTATATTTTTATTTTATGAGCGATAATATAAAATAAAGATTTCTTTTCTGAGGTTTATGAAAAAAATATTTTTTGGGATAACGTTTGTTTTACTTATTAGATTGAGGAGTAGATTATTTTAGGAACAGCATATATATATATATATATATATATATATATATATATATATATATATATATATATATATATATATATATATATATATATATATATATATGTATATATATATATATATATATATATATATATATATATGTGTGTGTGTGTGTGTGTATACAGATCAGTGGCTAGGCATTCCACACCTTCCAATTGGAGGAGACAGCTAGTTTTGATACTATTTTCAAAGCCTAAATATTATTTATAATAATAATAGTTAAATAATCGTATTTGAGTTTCAAATAAAATTCAAGTCCTATTAAAGTCATAAATTATATACGCAACTATCTAGAGAACTATCCAGCATTTGTTTGAATATATCTGATTTTGAATAGATTACCACTTATCAGTTATATCACTAAATTTAATTTAATGTTTAGCAACCCAATAACTAAAAAAAATGATAGTGTTGTTTTCAATTTTTATTGAATTTTTGTACAAACTTTTAGCACAGGACCGATAATAAGTTTATTGTGCCAATTAACGATAGCAAGATAAACAGCAACAAGGAGACAATCTATTTTTCATCTGCAATTTAATTACATCTTGGAAATGTTAAATAAGTTTCTGGTCAAAATAACATCTAATATAGCTGTCGAGCTTGTCTAATATAGCTCTTGGAATAAATGCGAGTCTGGTACACTTTTTGGTTAGTCGGTTCCAGTGGGCATAACAATCTAAATGAGGTTTTTTAAACCTTTAGAAGACGTTAAAAAACGTCTTTGTTGTGTCTCGCATTGGTTAAATTTGTTAAATGAAATACAAGTAGATGAGCACTTTGATAAAAGCAAACAACGTTTTAAAGTTGAAGTGTTTTATAAACTAATGGACATAATGAATAATCAACTTACCATTAGCTTTGAATCAATTTGACAACTATTGCGATGGGAAAAGAGCTAGCGACTAGCTAGCTTTAGCGCGATTTTCAAGCGGTTTTATTTTCTTATTTTATTTTTTCGTAATGTCCTTAACATCTTAAAAATTCAATTTTTAGTGTTGAGTCTATTTAATTATGAGAATATTTAAACTTTAAACATTGCGATTTTTTAGCAATGTATTGCTAGCTATATTGTAGCTAGGTACAAAATATTTACAAATCTATCAGCTGGTTGATAGCTGCATATCAAAATTTTTTAAACAGTGATTTTATTACAATATGGCGCTATCTACAATAGCCAGTGGGTCTTTGAGTTAGCTGTCAGCGTAGCCAAATTGCTGTCTCAAACTTTACAAATATTGATAGCTTTTCGCTAACTTAAAAAAGCTAATGATCCTCGTGGCCAAATTGCTGCCTTTATCTTTACGATTACAACTAGCTATTTTTCAACGGGAGGGCTAACAACTAGCTGTTTCTCAACTAGCCAATTTCTCAACGAGATCTACACTTTTAAAGTGCCTTTTACCTGCACATCTTGTGGCGTTATCTGATAAAGATATTCTGGAAGAATTTTAGACGTTACAATCGGAATATCCCTCTAACATTTTACCTAGTTTTAGGTCTTAAATGCTTTAATTTATAGATTGTTTCTATTATCAATTTAAAAAATATGCTTGAAAAATGTTTGAGTTAATTTTATTTCAAACCGCAGCCTTGAATAGTTATGCCGACATTATTGCAGCATACCAATTTTTTTTTTATATACCGATGACGACAACTAAAGCATAACAAAGTTTTTTAAAACTGAAGTTAATTAAAACATTTTCAAGAAGAGTAACTTTACAGCACCGTCTTAGCTCTTTGGCCACTATATTGATTGAAAAAGCAATAGCTTGTCAACTTGATTTGGATAAAGTGATTGATTGATTTGCAAAGATAAAAAAACAACTTTTAACTTTAGGCTAGAAATTAGAAATGTCTATAATTTTAGAATAAGTTTAGCTTTAATTGTTTTTTCTATAAAAATATATTTTAGACAATAAAATATTTATTTTATTGTTTATATTAGAAAAATGTGGTGATATTCGGAAACACCAACAAGATGACTGAACTCATAGCATTTTTTAAAAAAAGACGTGAAATGTTGAATAATATTTTGAATTAAAACTGATGACCTAAATTTTTACTTTATTTCTACTGGATTATAATATAAGGATAACAAACTATACTAATTTGGAACATAAAAGGATTTTTTATTCTTTATTGTATATAACCCCTATGATTTAAATACAACTTTTTTTAACTTTTCTAAAATTATTTTGAGAAAAGTGGGATCGCACTAATTTGACTTGCTCCAAGTGCTAAATAAATATTTAGCTACGCTACTGTATATATATATATAAATTTATTTATATATATATATATTATTATTATTATTATTATTATTATTATTATTATTATTATTATTATTTATATTATTATAAAATGCACCAGGATGGTTCCACAATAAAAAAATCAGATTTTGGTTCCATAAAAAATAAAAGATATGGTATCTGGATCAATTAATAAGTAATGCAGAAAAAAAAAACTTAAATTTTTAAAAGTTTTTATACAGAACTTACATTATAATAGTTATTGATAGCCCAGTGAGGACAAGAAAGTTTTGCGAACGTTTTATAATGGTCCTGTAATAACGTTTTTAATTGTTTTTTAAATGTCTATATGAAGCGGTAAACGGACGTTTTTCTGAAAACGTTCTTTATTGGTTTTTATTACGTCTAAATAAAACGTTTTGTCGTTTTTATCATTTTTTTTTAAGTATTAGTTATACAAAAAAACAACTTATGTTGTAAAGAAAAAAAAACTTTTCACAATTGAAAACTTAGGTCTAACAGTCAAGAACCGGATAAATAACTAAAAGTTTTAACACTTTGTGTTTATTTACAATTTAAGCATACAAAAACATAATAAAGTAGTTTTTTTTGCTATTCTATTGAGCTACTTATTCTATTATTAATTATTTCTTAACGACCAAATTGATATTTGCTTTATGTGAAACTAATGTTCATAAAAAAATATATACCATTGAAATCTTTCTTGCATTTCACTAGCATGTAAAAAAACTCATCAAAATAAAAACTACAATAATAAAAAATGAGTAATGGAAAATATCACATAGTATATTAAAGGATCAATATAAAAACTTAAAAGTGCCTTTACTCTACTCAATAAAGTTTTTAGTTTGATCACATTTTACTTTATTTAGAAAACTATATACATAAATGTAAACAAGAATATAGCAACAAATAAAACTTTGTTTGATTATTTAAATTATTTCACTTTCTTCAAACCTTGCTATATCATTTAATTAATCATAATAAAATTATGAATCTTTAAACTCAGTTTTTTTCCCCAGGACATCAATTGCTAATAAAGCCTTTTTTAGACATTGCATCGATGGATTAGGCATCGCAGTTCCATATATATTGCATATTGAAAACTTATTAGAAAAAAAAGTTTGAGCTAAGTAAAATTTTAATAAAAAACTGTTGTGAAAAACTAAAAATTAAATTGAATACAAAAAACATTTTTTAAAAAAGGACAAGACAACATTTAATAACATACTTGTTTAACTAATAGACTTAAAACTTGATATCAGTTTATAACAATAAAGTGCAGCAATGCATCGCTGAAATTCTTTTTTAACTTGTTGAAAAAATTTTTTATGTATTATTTATAATGTATTACTATGTACAATAAATTACTTTATTTCAAAAAACATTTGTCTGCTTTTATTTAGAATAAAATGTTGAATAAAAACAGATGAACTTACATTTGGTAAATATTTGCACTTTAATATTAGGACATGCTTCTCTAATGTGCAAATAATTATAAAATAGTTAACTTATCATTTAAAAATTGATATTAAAAAAAATATACAAAAAACGCACACTTCAATCTTATATATAAACTCACATTAAAGTATTTAGTTAAGAATATTAAAGATAACACTAATTTTTAAAAATTATAAAAAAACTTGCATATATGAGCTGAACTTAAAAAAATAACCTCATTCTATGAGTTTAGAACTTGAAGATTCTAAATCACTTTACGCGTGCATCTTACATCTTTTTAGTCAAGATTTAGATTTCTACAAAAAATTCTACTTGTATAAAGAATATAGAGCGATTGCTAACTGGAGCAGAAATAGTCTAGATAGAAATAGCTTTAAACGTTTATTAAAAGACTTATTTATGAAACAATTGTAACATAAACTTACTTTGTGTTAGGTTGTGATCATTTCATTTTGACAATACTTGCATCTTTGTTACTCATAATTTAGAATGGTAGTTTAACTTTTTTCAGTATATTTAAAAACTAATTTTTCATCCATAAAAAAATAATTATAAACAAAAACACACACACACACACACATCATATATATATAATATATATATATATATATATATATATATATATATATATATATATATATATATATATATATATATATATATATATATATATACTGTATATAAAACATAAACTCCTAGAAATTTTTTTTTTTTTAAAATTCAGTTTACATATATTTAAACTTTTCAAAAAGTTATATAAATGTTTGTGTGTTTAATAGATGTAATTCACGTGTATACAACTTTTCGAAAAATTATATAAATGTTTGCGTGTATAATACACGCAAACATTTATATAATTTTTCGAAAAGTTTAAATATATGTGAATTAAATTTTTTTTTTTTAAATGTTTCTTGTATTTTAGAACATAAAGACTATTAAAATTTGAAACAAACTTTATGGGTGTA